AGGAGGAGGGCGACGGCGGTGGCGGAGGTGAGGAAGAGCATCATGAGGATTCTGAAGCCAATTCACGTTGTCGACGCTTCGGGGCCTTCATGTTCAGCGGTGCAGCAGCAGGACTCAGAGGCGAAGGAGGCGGAGGAGGAGGAGGAAGCCTCCGAGGGGTGCCCCTCGCTGGGCTCCCGTCGACTTTCGCGGGCTTCCCTCCTCTTCGTGGGTCTCCCCGCTTGTCGAGCGTGTTTCTTCCGCGCTCGCCGCGCGCGGCTTTTCAGCCGTCGTGCCCGCACCCTTTTCCCTTGCGGTCCTGGCCGCCCCCGTGCGCAGGGATGCGTGTCGAGATCTTGTGGCGCCCTCTGGCCCTGTGTGGCCCATGGCGGGTGTGCGAGGCTGCCCCATCGAGGCCGCTTCCCTTGCCGTGCTTTCCTTCTCCGGACGCGCGCGTCGGTCGCACTAGTCTTCGGTCTTCGCCGCGATGTTGCACACGCGGTTCCCGAGCAAAACGACGAGGCGGCGATGAGGATGAGGATGACGATGACGACGATGACGATGATGATGAGGATGAGGATGAGGATGAAGATGATGATGCTGAGTATGATGATGATGATGATGATGATGATGATGATGATGATCATGGAGATGGTGATAGGGATGGTGATGGTGATGGTGATGATAATGCTGCTGATGATGAGGATGCTGCTGCTGATGATGATGATGCTGATGATGATGATGATGAAGATGATGATGATGATGATGGTGTTGATGATTATGACGATGATGACGATGATGACGATGATGATGACGAGGTCGATGGTGATGCAGACGATTATGATGATGATGATGATGATGCTGAAGAGTACGATGATGATGGTGATGATGCTGATGAAGGTGCTGATGAGGATGGTGGTGATGATGATAGTGGTGATGATGATGCTGATGCTGATGCTGATGATGATGCTGATGCCGATGCTGATGCTGATGATGATGAGGATGATGATGAGGATGAGGATGACGTGGAGGAGGAGGAGGAGGAGGAGGAGGAGGAGGAGGAGGAGGAGGAGGAGGAGAAGGAGCTTCTCGACCGCTTCGAGCGCAGCCCTACGTAGGAACCGACACTGGTGAGATTGATCGCGCGTGGCTCCTCATCTGCCAAGGCTTGGTCTTCGACTTCGGAAAATTCGCTTGGTCACCACCTTCCGATAAGCAGGCTCCTGGCCCATGAGGGCCACCTTGGTGCAGATAGGGTGCAGCGTGTCGATGATGTCCTTTCCACCAGAGCGAAGCAGCTCATTGGCGATATTGTCGGTGCCTGTCGCTTTCTTTTTCTCTGGGCCGGAACTACCCAGTTGTGCCGTAACATGCTTGGGAGGAACATTTCGCACGCCGAGCGTGATCTCAGCAGCCTCACAATGCTCCGTGTCGTTGTAGTGTTTAGCGTAGGCGATGTGACGGTGCCGATAAGCATCCTCAACCTCTGCAGAGGTTTCGAATGTTTGGTTGCCCATCGGGTCGTCATTCATCATGACGTTACCGTCACTGTCGTAGCTGGTGGGGAGGAGCTCTCCTGACTTGAACCGTCTGGAAGGTTGGCCTCCAAATCGTAAGTGCCACCGTAGATGTTCCCATGATCTAGCACTATCGTGCTGCTTCGCCCATTGCTGGGTGAAGCGCGCAGAGCTACATGGCTTCACGTGCGAGGATGTGACCACATTTGTCGACCCACTAGAGGGTCACGACCTGGCACTATACCAACCGACATGATCTTCAAAGTGGCCCCTATTCGTACACTTGAGTGGATACATGACTCCCTGAAGGACAGGGGCATGTTGGTCGAGTTGCCCGAACCATACATTCGTGCGTCCAGTGGGGGCATCGATTGCACTGCCGCGGACACCTCCCTCGTTAACGACGCTGTGATCCTTCTTGCAAAGACCTCCAACATTACCGTGTGCCTCGACGCAGAGCTACTTGTGGCCATCGTGCAGGAAGGCATGCAGCTTCACGGCTACGACGCGAATCTGAAGCGCGGCAAGAGCGTTCATTGTGACGGTTGTTGGCCTTAGAGTCCAGCAGGCTAAGATCGAGATGCAGGGCAGCTCGAGCCTTGCGTCGAGTACGGCTTCTCATTTCCGCCTGCTCAGATGGCAGTTGATCGCTGTTACAAACACCTCGGCTTCATGGCTGAGAAAGACACTCACTGGGGGCCCGAACTTCAGTTGAGGATCGCTGATTTCAGAACGGCAGCTGGACCCATCGAACCTCAGATGAAGAATGCAGCGGTATCTCTCAAGAAAATGCCATCTACTTCGGCACACTGGCGACGGCCAAACTGCTCTACCACAGGAAATGCCCTGAGCCTCAGTGTGATGAGATCAAACATCAACTGATCACTGAAATCATGCCACTTGCAGATTGTCTCAACATCACTGGGCCTACGCAGGCTGATGCTAGGACCCCAGACATGTAGACGCTTCTCAAAGTGGACAGGCAACCCATTGCGATTACGATCATATTGCGCAGGCTGAGGTATTGGGCACTAGTTGTCTTTCATGAGATATCGTTGCTGCTTGATGGGATCCGGTGCGAGACATACCTCGTAATTGGCCTTCAATTGTTGTGAATACTCTCCAACGGATACGTACGTGAAAATACCAAGCGCATTTTCCCTGACCGAGAATCTGGTATTTCAGGATGGGCTGCTTTGATTAAGGCAGGTCTCGGACACTTCTACAATATATTCCAAATGGCATGAAGAATGATAAGCGGATGCAGCTTGAGGAGTATCGACATGATGGCATGCAGAGGCACATTGCGAGTGTTGCTGGCCAGGCCTGCCTATGGAAGGCTACGCCAGCTGCGAAGACCATCGGTTGTGACACATGTGGGAAGTTGTTTGTCAACATTGGCGCGATTCTCAGACATCAGACCATTGAGCATGGACCTCGGGATATAGCAAGGATGTACGCCATCGGCGGGAAGTGCATCTGCGGCACCATGCATCACACACGTGAACGGCTACACCGACTCCTGCGACGACCTGGCATCAAATGTTTGGCCCAGCTTGAGCAGCCTTCTCCACCGATTAGCGACGAAGATGCGGCCGAGCTTGAGATCAAAGATTAAGTAGAGCGCGGCACGCTAAAAATTATAGGTTATCAGGCACACAAGGCTCTGCGACCTTCGCTCCAGCAGCCTGGACATAGGTAGCCGCGTCAACGAGCAGTTCGTTTTCTGGTTCCAGAGGAGCAGCATGAGCAAGAACAACCGCACAAGAAGTATTGCAGGATGAGGGTGCAGACGAGCTGCAACTTCCAGCACCTGCTCATTTTGATGATTTTGCGCATCTGGCCATTGACAGCTCGCTGGGCCGATCCGAGAATTCCGCGCAGACCTCCGGAAGTGCCTGCAAATGTCATGCGTTGCACCTCGAGATGAGGAGCACGGAGGGGAAGAGGGAGGAAGGAGAGGAGGAGGAGGAGGAGGAGCAAAAGGAGGAGAAGTACGAGTAGTAGTACGAGGAAGAAGGAGGAGGAGGAGGAGGAGGAGGAGGAGGAGGAGTGGGAGAAGGAGGAGGAGGAGGAGAACGAGGAGGAGGAGTACGACGAGGAGCACGACGAGGAGCAGGAGGAGGAGGAGGATGAGGAGGAGGAGGAGGAGGTGAAGGAAGAGGAGGAGCAAGAGGAGGAGGAGGAGGAGGACCAGTGTAAACCCAAGAGTCTCAACGATGTTGGAATTAACCCTCCCTCCAATCTCCCTCTTCATAGGCCCCCACAACGGTTGATTTCCACTGAGGGAACTGACTGGTTAGAAGACAGCCGTTTGAAGACCTTCAAGCATGCCAAAACATTGTTCTCGGGAGTCCCACGCCACGGATCAACCTGACTGCTGCGTCTTGACGATCTGGAATCGTGCCAAACGCCATTTTTGGGACTCCCACACCGCGATTCAACATAATTGTTGCACCCGCATAATCCTGAATCCTTTCAACACACCATTTCTGGTACGTTGATCATGGGATTCCGTTAAACTCTTGCAAGTTTAACAAACGAATGTTCGCGACGCTACGGCGATAGCCACGTTTTCGAAAGAAACCGCCCCCAACCCGTGAAACTCTTGCAACTGTTTAAAACGAATGTTCGCGGCGCTACGGCGAGAGCCACATTCTGAAAACGACCCGCCCTCAATCCACGAAACTCTTGCACATGCTTACAACGAATGTGCGCGACGCTACGGCGAGACAACAATTTGAAAACGACCCGCCCTCAATCCGTGAAGCTCTTGCAAATGTTTACAAAGACTGTCCGCGGCGCTACGGCGAGAGCCACATTTTGAAAAGGAACCGCCCTCAATCCGTGAAACTCTTGCACATGTTTAAATCGATTGTGCGCGACGCTACGGCGAGAGCCACATTTTGAAAACGACCCGCTCTCAATCCACGAAGCTCTTGCAAATGTTTAAAACGAATGTCCGCGGCGCTGAGGCGAGAGCCACATTTTGAAAACGACCCGCCCTCAATCCGTGAAACTCTTGCACATGTTTAGAACGATTGTGCGCGGCGCTAAGGCGAGCGCCACATCTTGAAAACGACCCGCCCTCCATATGTGAAGCTGCTGCCATTCTTATGCTTCAGAGTCAGAAGTGGTGAGAAAGTCTGAGGCGAAATGCCCGGGCGGCTCTAAAAACTTGCCTCGGGGTGCGACAGGGAGACGTTATTTGGAAAAATAATGGAGGAGTGGGAGAAGGAAGGGGAGGAGGAGGAGGAGGAGGAGGAGGAGGAGGAGGAGGAGGAGGAGGAGGAGGAGGAGGAATAGGAGGAGGAGGAAGAAGAGGATGAGGAGGAAGGAGGAGGAGGAGGAGGAGGAGGAGGAGGAGGAGGAGGAGTGGGAGAAGGAGGAGGAAGAAGAGGAGGAGGAGGAGGAGGAGGAAGAATAGGAGGAGTGGGAGAAGGATGAGGAGGCGAAGCAGGAGGTGGCCGCTCGCGTGAGCGCGCACGGCGCGCGCCTCCTCAGCGGCCGCCATCACGGCGGCGGCATGGCCGCGCGGCGGCTTTGCCGCCGGCAGCGATGCCCTCGCGGAAGCCGCGTGGCGCCTGCCCGCTCTGCGCGGAGGCGTACGACAGGACGGTGCGCTCGGTCGGCGATCGGCGGCGCGTCGATCGGAGGCGCGTCGGTCGTCGATCGTTCGGTTGGAACTCGTGGTTGTCATGTGTGTCTTCGGAATCCCCTCTTCAGAGTGCGTGCGCTAGCGTGTGATAGTCGATACGACAGCGCCGATACAGCGACGATTTGCGTCGATTTAGCGTCGACTCAACGTCGGCTAGCGTCGATTAGCGCTGGCCAGCGTCGATTCGCAAGAGCTGGCAAAATGGTATGGTAGGCCCTTCGTGAGTTGCCACCGAAGAGGAGGTTGGGGAACAAAACAAATTGCACAAGCATAAACTTCCAGAGATCCGCGCGGATTTCTCGCATCGGCGCTGGAGCCGCCTGGCGGCGCCACCGGCGCCGTCCCAGGGAGCGGGGGCCTCCAGCGCCGATCCAAGAAATCCGCGCGGAACTCCGAACGTGTAGATTTACCCGCATGCTTAGTGGGGCGATTGTTTTCTTCCCACCCGCGTCTCACCCGTGTTTCTCCTCCCTCTCCTCCCTCTCCTCCTCCTCCTTCTCACCTGCACTAGCGCTGACAGCACACACACACACACACACACACACACACGCACACGTCATTCAGATACCCACGTATATCCGCACACCACGTGACACGCACACACACAGGGGGGGGGGGGGGGCACTCACCCAAAACGAATGCGCCACATACTGGGCATCCACATGGGACACGCGAAAAGGCGAGAAGGCAAAATTCACAAAACCATCCTTGAGACACAAGTCCAGGTACGGCCGCATACGCATCATACACATACACACGGTACGCCATACGCAAGACACGCGTGTAGCATTCGCAGTGCATGGCAGGCGTGGCATTTTCTCCGCACCACATGGTTGACGTAAGGCGCGGTTTCTTTCCGTGGTCTCTATCCGTCCCCAGGTCGCGGGGAGTGCCAGGCGTGGCACTTTCTCCACACCACAGGGGTTGCGCAGGACGTGGTCCCTGAGCGTGGTCTTTATCCGTCCCAGAGTCGCGGGGAGTGGCAGGCGTGGCGCTTTCTCCACACCACAGGGGTGCGTAGGGGGTGGTCCCTCTCCCCGGTCTTTATGCGTCCCACGGTCGCGGGGCGTGGCAAGCGTTGCATTTATTCACCATAGGGGGTGCGCAGGGGGGGTCCCCACACGCGGTCTCTACCCGTCCTAGTGTCGCGGGGAGCGGCAGGCGAAGCATTTTCTCCACTCAACAATGGTTGCGCAGGGCGTGGTCCCTGTCACAGGCGTGGCATTTTCTCCTCCACAGGGGGTGCGTAGTGGGTGGTTCTTTTCCGTGGTCTCTATCCGTCCCAGGGTCGCGGTGTGCGGCAGGCGTGACATTTTCTCCACACCATGGGGGTTGTGCAAGGGAGTGGTCCTTTTCCGCAGTCTCTATCCGTCCTAGGGTCGTGGGGCGCGGCAGGCGTGGCAATTTCTCCAAGTCATGGGGGGTGCGCATGGGGCAGGCGTCGTGGTTGCATTCCATCACTTGCATTAGCAGGGGCTTGCGTAGCATCCAGATTTGTAAACAATTTGGCTGAAGCCGGCTGGGAGCGCCAGGATTTTCTTGCAGGCGCGCCGCAGTTGGTTGTTACGCTGGTGCGCCAGTCACTCAGCCCAATATTGCCATGGGCGAGCTGCCCCCTCCGTGCTCTTCGGGGTCGTCCTCGCCTCTGTTCGCACAGCGTGTCAGGCTCCCGAGGCTTGACAGTCGTCACCAACGGTATCGGCGGGGCAACGGCCACCAGCATCATCTTCGCATGCTTCACTTCAGGTATCAGCACGCCAGACACTTTACAAGTCTGGGGGGTGTCCGCGGTAGCGTAATTATCAGGAGGGAAAGAAACACATAGACACAATTAATCGGCGATTCCCGAGAAAATATGGGAAAATATGGAAGTGGGGGGGAAGACAAAAACCAAGAAAATATGTGAAAATATGGAGGATGTTTTTATTTGTGTGTATTTATTTGTGTGTCCTTGGGCCCCTTCGAATTGCTGTATCTGTGGTCGCTCTGTCATGGGAAGGCGAGTCGAGGTGCTGGCGGTCGGCCTTCAGGGGGCCCCTTCCTCGCGCAGTTCGGCGAGTTCGTGCGTTTGGGCCCCCAGGGAGGGGCCCAGGGACCGGTTTTGAGCTTCCGTTGCGCCCTGTTCCGGGTGGTGTGACCGGCGTGCCGCGGCGCGCGGCGCCCTGGGCGGAGCTCCTTCTCGGAGGAGGAGGAGGAGGAGGAGGAGGAGGAGGAGGAGGAGGGGTCTTCGGGGCGGAGCTGGCCTCGGCTCCAGGTGATGGCGTCTTTCCGTGCCCCCTCTCCGCCCCGTCGTGAATGAGATGTGTGCGAATTCGTTGTGCGTGGCGCCAGCCGACGCGCCTTTGGGCGAACGGCTTCTGTCTTTCTGTCGGTCTATTTGTCTGTCTGCCTGTCTGCCTGTGTGTCTGTCTGTCCGTCAGTCCGTCTGTCTGTCTGTCTGTCTGTCTGTCTGTCTGTCTGTCTGTCTGTCTGGCTGTCTGTCTGTCTGTGTGCCTGTGTGTCTGTCTGTCTGTCTGTGTGTCTCTGGCCCCTCGTTGGGCTGGTGCGCGGGCAGGCGCGCGGATAGGACGCTGATCGTTCAATCATTTGCGAGGGTTTCTGCTCGAGGGTCCAGGCTTTAGAGGCGACTGTTGGGCCCCTCTTGGGCCTCTTGGGGGATTCCTGGGGGACTTCCAGAAGCTTCTATAGGGAAGTCCAGAGGCCCTCTGGGGGCCTTCTGGACTAGACCCCAGGGGGGGAGCAGGAATCTGATGCTGAGGGGGAGGAGGGGAAGTGCACGCGGTCGGCTGCGCCGCCATAGACACACGCCACCAGCACAGGCGAGAGGGGAGCACTTCCAACTCTCACCGTGCGCGCTCCACCACTTACAAAGGACCAATTCGAAACACGTTCGAAAGGACATGTCTTGTTCTACGTAATGGATCGTAAATCCCCCGCCGTGGATCGAGACAATTTGCGAGTAGCTACTTTGCGAGTAAAGAAACGCGCTCGTCTATCTTCAACGTCCGCCTTCTCGTTGTGTTGCTCCCCCCCACCCTCAGTCGCGCCCCTTCCTGGCACTCCCCTCTCTTACAGACGGGAGGGGGAGGATGAGGGAGGAGGCGAATTGAAACCCAAGACTAACTAGGTGCAGTCATTCCGCATAGGAAGGATGAGCAACCTTCCCAAGGGTGCCCTTGCATCCTCGCCTCCTCGGTCCATCCATGGCCGCTTTCGTTGGCCACGCTCCTTGCATCCTTATCGCGCGTTCTTTTCCTACGGGTCCATTGTAGTATATGGCCGAAAGGAGTACATGGAAGGAGAAGGAGACGGAGGATGAGGAGGGCGATGGAGGCGGCGACGACGACGACAACGGTCGGCTGTGTGATGCCGAGGACAGGTGAAGCGGCATCCTTCCCCAAGCAGATCTTGCACCCAGTAGGCTTGGCATCGCTCGGACGTGTGCATTTTTCCTTCGGCGAGGACCATCGAGGAGCATCCTTGATCATTTGGCGAATAAACCACGCACGAAACCCCAAAAACACAGGGAATGGACGTCCGAGCGATGGCCAGTAGGTGGGTCCTTGCTCGTCCACGGGAGTGGCTGCTGCGCGGTGCCCCGCCGTGGAGCTGCCGCGCGCGGGGCTCGGACGATGGGGCACACGCTGGCATCACCGGCGAAGCCTCCCGAGCGAGAGGGGGGAACTTGGCGGTCCGTGGAAACGACTGGGCTGTGCTTTTCCGTCTTCGTCTTGCCGTTTTTCTTCCCCCCTCCCGGAGTCGGCGCAGTTTTTGCCCCCCCCCCTCCCGGGTTCGGCGCAGTTCCCCCCCCCCCCCTTCCAGGGTTCGGCGCAGTTTTGTCAGATTCCGTCGCCTCTGTGTTTCCGTTCCGGCTCCGGCTTCAATTCCAGGGCTGCTTTTGTTTCTCGTTTCGGCGAACTTTTTCTTACGCCGTCTTTCTCAAGATAAAGGCTTTGCTTTGTAATCGGTTTAGAAACAGCCCTGCCGCCTCCAATAATCACTGATGGGAGCAGGAAGAGGAGGGGAAGCGGGGTCGGTGGTCACGAGCGGCGACCGTACCCGTATCCGCGCCCTCGCGGTCGGGATTCTTGGGCGCGCGGTCCCTCGGATACGCGGGCGTACGGATACTTTCCGCGCGGGGTGTCCGCGAGTCGCCCAGGGGTCGCGGATCCGTATCCCCATGTGTCCGCGGGGCCGTGGCCCAGAGGCCCAGGCCCGCGAGGCCGCGGATGCGGATACGGACAGCTCCTGCGCCCCCGGGGCGGGGACAAGCGGCGCGGGGGAGGACCGACCTCTCCTTCGACCCCTGCGTCTGCAGCTACAGGGTGTGCCTCCTGTGCGTGCACCGCCTCCGCGAGGAAGGCCAAGGCTGCCCTGGCTGCCGGAGGCCCTACGACCAGGAGGGCCTGGGGCCGTTTCCCCTCCTCCCTTGTCTCCTCCTCGTCCTCCTCCTCTTCGTCCCTCTCACCCCCCTCCTGCTCGTGCTCAGGCCGTCACCCTCCTCCAGCTCGTCCTCTTACTCGTCTTTGACCTCGTCGTCCTCCTTGGTGGGCGACCCGCAGCCTGGCAGCTTCTGCGGAATTCTGATGGCACCAGTGGTTTCGCGCATCGTTGTGGCGTTGCTGGCCATTGCGGCAATGGCTCCCAGCCGCCATGCCTTGGCGGTCAACTGTATTACGCACTCCACGACAAGGTCGCCCGTTTCGGACGTGCTGAGTGCGGTGGACCAGCTGACCGATGTAGAGAGCGGTCATGGGTGGTGCGGCCTTGCATGACGCGCCCACGACTCTGACCCATGCCGTTGATGTAGTTGACACCGCCGCACTTCGTCGGTGGCCGCCGTCGCGGCTATCCTCGCAGGGTTTGGGAGTGCCGTTTCTGTGGTGAGAGACTGCGTTGCCCTGGAAGTGTTTGCATCTTTGGCTGCGATCCAGTCCACGACTTGCGCTGTTTCGGGAAGCTGTATTTCGCGGGCACGACCGCCGGTGGTGCCGCCACCTTTGCACGCGGGACACGCGCTAGATTCGTCCAAGCTTTGACCGCCCTGGCCTTGGCGTTCGCCAGCCAGGGAAAGATCATGAGCTGGGTGGTGCTGGTCGGCTGCTCTCGCGTCAGTGTTAACCCATCTCGCCCATCTCTCTCTCTCTCTCTCTTTTATGTGCTTTGTTCTCAAGACTGCTTCGCGTCTGCTCGGTGCTGCCGTTGGGCCTCGTTTGGGCATTCCCCGGTGCCTGAGGCAGCCTGCGCACTCCTCGTGGAGAAGAGCCTCTGCGTCTGGGTCCTCCTCCTGCGTTTCTCCCCCGCGGCCGCTCTCCTCCCCCAGTTGCATTGCGTGCCCTCCTTCCCGCGCGGCCCGCCAGGTAGCCGAACGCGCTGGCGTCTGCCCTGGATGCTGGAAGCAAGTGTTCGGGCACGCCCCATCGTCAGAACACGCCGCTGTGCAAGGCCACGCGAAGAAGACCGCCAGGCCACGCGGTGGTTCAAACCATTGTGGTTCAAACCGCTCCGGCTCAGGCCGCCCCGGCGCGCCGCCTTCGTCCCACCTGCACCTAAGCGTGTTTTCTCTCCCGTCCTGCTTTTCCCCGCATGCGTTTATGGCTCGGGGTCGAGGCCGCGCTGGAGGCGGTCGCGAAGGCGACGGTACGCGGCACCCTGCGCACCCTCGAGCCGCAGGCGACGCAGCGGTGACGCAGCCGCCGGCGCCCACGCGGCGCCCTCGCCCATGCATCTGCTGCCGCCGCCTGGCGAATCGGACGCGCAGAAGCTGCCGCCGAGCGGCGCGCCCGCGACGCCGCCGCGCCTTTCCCGGGCGGCTGACTTGCGCGAGGTGTCGGTGCTCATGGGGCGGGGGTCAACGCAAACGGGGGTCAGTCAGAGCGCCGGATCTCGTAGGATCCTGCAGAGCCAGGGGTGCGCTTAAACAGGCTTGGGCGCAGGATCTTGCAGGATCTTGCAGGATCCTGCAAGGCCTGAGCGGTCCGGGTCTGCATTGACCCAGTTCAGTAGATCTCCGAGAGGTGTTCCCGCGGCCGCTTGCGATCGAGGACCCGTCGCCGCGCGGGTCTCCTGCGCCCCCCGCGGCGCGGGCCCCGCGCCGCGGGCGCCGCGGACGCTTCCGCTGCCGACCTCGCGCGGGGCGCTGCAGCGAATGGCGGCGGCGCGGGGGACCCGCCGCGGCAGGAGCCGCAGCTTCGCAATCCGCGCGACGTTTAAGTCTTCAGATTTCTACGAGGTCAGTTGGCAGTGGCCGGCGGCGCTGCTGCGGAGCAGCTGAGAGCGCAATTCTCTGGGTCGCCCGCAAAGGAAAAAAACGTGCGCGCGCGCAGGAGAAGGGCATCCCATCGTTGATCAGGTACCGATCAGGCCCCCTGCATTAAGTAGCCTTCTGGCTGAGGGGTCAGAGGGACGCGTCCTGACAGGCTCTTTAATGGCTTTGCGATATATCAGTTCTGAAAGAGTGCGATGGCAGCGCGCGCAGGCCGAGCTGGCCGGGGCCAGCGCGCAGGCAGTGGGCCTGGCCGCGTCCCAACCCGGCCCACTCGCGCCTGAGCGCGTCTGGACTGGTCAGATGGCCAGGTCAGTTTGCTGCAACGCGCTGCTTCGGCTGCAAAAAAGCCATTAGAGGGCGCCGAGTGCACGGCAGGAGCCTTGCACCTGGATGGCGCTGCGTCACCGAGTGATTTTGCGTTGCTGTCACTCGAGGAGGCGCAAGCAAGATGGCTGGCATTGGGCGCGTCGAAGGCGACGGTAGGTCGCGAAACATGTGGTTCTCTGCTCGAAACTGTGCGCAGTCGTACTGGCGGCGGTGGCGCAGCAGCCGGAGGCGCGCGCTTCTGGGGCCGCTCCGGCAATGGTTGGCGGCCGCTGCATTTGGCGCTGGCTCGCATTATTCGCGCGCATAACAAAGTCGAGGCGTCGCCCGTGGAGACGCCAGCGCAGGGCGCCCGATCGAGCGGCTCGCGCCCGCCGGGCTTGCGCGGCGGCGCTGCCGCCAGCAGTGCGGCGGCACCGCGGCGCCGCCGGCGGCCGCGCGGCAGCGGCGCGGCGGCGGCGCGGCGGCACTGCCGGCGGCGGCGTGGCGGCGGCGGCGCGGCAGCGAATGGTTGCATCGCGCTGGAAACAAGTTCACGCAGATGTTTTTGCCGAGCAAGCAGTGGGTTGAAGTCCAAGGATGGCGGGGGAGTGCCATGGCCGGGCTACGCGCGCTTCGGGGGTCTCGCCGCGGGGCCAGGCGGCTTCCGTCGCGCGCGTTCCGTCGCGGCCGCCCCGGGCAGACGTTCTGCATTGTTTCGCTTCGCTGTTTCGGAGCGGCGCGTCCTTGGCGCAGCATGCGCTGCGCCTGCGGACAGCGTTCGCGCGGCTGGCGTGCCCGCGGACGGCGTTGGCTGACGCCGCCAGGTCAGTGCTGGGCGCTGAAAGTCAACTGGCCCAACCACAAGGCGGCTCAGAATGAGGGCTTCGCCAGCCGACGCGCGCGCCCTCTCTGAGGGGGCTGCCGGCGCGGCCGGGCCGGGCGCGGAGGATCTGTACGTCGGAGGGGAAGTTAGCGGCAGCCATTATCTGCTTGCGGCGTGAGTGCTTTCAGGGACCGGTGGAAGCGGCACCGCCTGCGCCTGTAAGGTGCTCGGTTCAGCTTTGCGCGGCGCGTGCTCACTCGAGCCCGCCAGCGGGGCCCAAGTAATTTTCTCCCAGCATGTTTCTTGCTCTGAGTCCTCGGCCTCCCCGAAGCTGGCAGCGTCGGCCCGCGCCCCCAGGTCGCCCCGCGCCTGGGGCGCGCGCGCGTTCAGGCGCGGGCGGGCGCCCGATGCCCTCGAGGCAGGAGGGCCCGTGGCGCTCTTCTACATCGGGGGCTGGCGCGGGCTCGCGGTTTCTGCTTGTGCCAGCGCCCTGGGGGCCCTCCTGACTGGTGAGTTTTGGCGGGATATTCCAACTCGCCAGAGGGCGAGTGGACCTCTTCGGTGCATCGGGCATGGCTGTGGATCCAAAGAGATGCGCTCTTCTCTGGGGGCTCTGGACGCATGGTGAGTTCGGGTCGTCTCAGAAGCCCCCGGCCAGGCTTCGGGCTTTGCGCGTGCCCACCGCTTCCGCGGAGGTCGTCGATGGCGATTCCTCAGCGCGAAAACGCGACGCGTTTTCAGCGCGAGAACAAATGAGTAACCAGAGCTTCATGGCCGTTCCCCCGCTCGTTGCCTCACTCGCCTTCGGGCTTTGCTCCTGGCGGAGCTGCCGGTGCCTGTCGGCGCTTCGCCGCCATCTCACGTGCGCGTCTTTCGCGCGCCCGGCGCTCTCGGTGACGGCGGCGGGGTCCGTCCGTCTGTCTGTCTGTCCGTCAGTCCGGCCCGCTGATTCGCGGTCGCCGCGCCCGCCCCCGCGGGGGTTGGTCGGGGCGGCCCGCTTGTCGCGGCACCCACGGTGGCGGCCGCGGCGCATCTTCTGCGCCGCCGCGGGGGGTCGCGCTCCTTGGGCGCGCTGCCATGGCGGGGTGGCCCTGCTTGCTCGGCGTTTTCCGCCCGCCCGCCCCGGGCCGGTTGCGGCCCGCGGTTTCGGCGGCCACCGGGCGGGGCCTGGATCGCCCCGATGGGCCCCCAGCCGAGCCGCGGGTTTTGCGCGCGCCCGCCGCCCCTAGGAGATCGCCGACGGCGTTTTCATTGGAGATGGGCGCCTTTGCGCGCCTGGTTGGCGGACTCGCGCAGGGCAACTTTGTGAGTTGTCGACCGCCGCGCTGCTTGAGCTCGCCCCAAGCTGGCAGAGTGCGTCTGGGTGGCTAACCAGTTTCGAGCTGGCGCGGGCAATCGGAGCACAGGAGCGCTCAAATCGGTTTTGCGAGTGCAAAACAGCCAGATCGGCAATCCGATCACGGAACCGCTCGAACCAGCGCTCCGAGCCCGGGGGCGCTCCAGAACGGGCTGGGCGCCAACGGCCCGACGGTTAACCGCGCGACGGCGCCGCAATCCCCGGGGGGCACCGGCGTGCAAGAACAACGGGGAACGCCGCGCCACGCGAAGCGTAATTTTCCTGCTCGTTCGAAGCGCTGGCGGACGAGACAAGCGAGCATTTGCCGCTCGCCGACCGCGACGAGGCGTTGGGCGCAAACCATTGAAGCCCCCAGAGGCCAAGAGGGGAAAGCAAGGCACTTCCGTCGCATTTTCCCGCCCACCCAAACGCCGCGCGATTTGGGAGCTAAGGAGACGCGTGGGCGACCAGAACTTTGCGGCCGCTCCTCCGCTCATTGCCTCGCTCGCCTCCGGGCGCTGCTCCTGGTGGAGCTGGCGGTGCCTGTCGGCGCTTCGCCGCCATCTCGCGCGCCCATCTCTCGCGCGCGTGGAGCTCTTGGCGACGGCGGCGGGGTCCGTCTGTCTGTCTGTCTGTCCATCTGTCCGGCCCGCTGATTCGCGGTCGC